AGCAGAACATAATATTTTTTACCATCATCCAGATACAGAAAAATTTTTAGCTATGATTAAAGATGTAAAATGTCATTTGGGACACTCACCCTCCATCCTGTGCTATGCTTCCCTGCATAGCCTACGTCTTCTCTGTTCAGACACAAGAACCCTTTCTTCTCACTCACTGGCTCAGGCTGGGCCTCAGAATCCTCTGACCCTGAATCCAAATCCGAATCCTCCAACCACAAGAGCAGCAGGGTCGCCTTCTCTTGACCCTGTGGCTCCCACACAAGACTTCCTTGTTATTTAAACAAAAAACTATTGCTAAAAACACAGTTATCTTGTTATCTTGGTTACTGACAATATAATGCAACAACAAGTTAAAGATTTCAAAATGAAAAATATCACTGTTAGTCCTACTATTTTAGCACAACTAATTTTATTTTTCAAAATTATCCTATTCATATCACTTTTGAAAAACAACTTTCCTGGAACAGACCTGAAGCAAAGCATCATCCAGCAACTTCCAACATCTGTGCATGCACAAGTCCTCGCCACACCTCCATCACTCGAGTTTCTCTTACTTTTATGGAAAAAAGTAAAACAAACTTAATAACAAAATAACAGAATATCAATAATTAATGCATTGAATATACATATCTTTAGATAATCAGATACAAGGTATGGACTAAAAAATTCTGCACATAATATTAGCACAAACCTTTCTTTTGAATGAAGTGGGAGAAACTGGTCTAACTATCTTGTGTTTTGACTCCACCCTTGCCGTGCACTCCCTTCCCCACTGCACCCCTGGATCTCTGCACCCCCATCACTGCACATGAATTTGAATCATCTGGAATTGTGTACAAGGGGAGTCATACAGCACGGAGGCTTCTCATTTGTCTTGCAATCAGCGTAACTACTTTGAGAGTCATCTGTATTGTTCACTATGGAAAACATTCACTCAAAACTGGCAAAATCTGAGTTTTAAAGAAGCCCTTTAGCATCTCATAAATGTCGCCTTTCTATTTATAATAACTGTTCAGCATTGTGCCACATCAGAGCACTCCTACCCTACCAGCAAGGCCACCCGTACCCCTTGCTGTCCTTCCCTGATCATGATGCCGTAGATGCAGAGGACTGTCAACCTTTTCTACACATTTGCCTTTTCTGACATTTCGTATCAAGGGAATAAGCAGGATATGGTCCGTTCCTTTGGTTCTTCCATTGTTCTTGTCTGTGTTGCAGTTTGTATTATGCTCTGTTCCTTTTTACTGCTGAATAGGGTTTCATTACACAGACACACATGTACATTTCACCCACTGATGGACATTTTCACATTTTGACTGTTGCAAATAAAACTGCAGTAAAGACTCGTGTGCAAGTCTTTTTGGGGGTATAAGTTTCCATTTATCTTGAATTAGCTGGTATATTTAAATTTTTAAGAAACTGCCGAACTGTTTTCCAAGGTGGGCAAGGCAAGTACAGTATATGGGTTTCTGTTCCATCAGACCTTTGGGTGCTGCCTGACTCTCGGTATGGGGGACCGTGTTCACTGCAGTCGTATCCAGTAGAGCGCTGTGGTTTCTCCTTATGACTTTGCAATCTGGCTAGTGTCTACTGATGTTGCACACCTTGCCATATGTTTATATGCCACATGCACAGTCTTTGCGGAGGTGTTTATTCAAGTATTTTCTCCTTTTTTAGTAGGATGTTTTCTTAATGTATATGTATATATGCTTTGAAACTATTTGCTATTATTTTATGTTACATTTTTAATCTCTTAACAGTGTCTTTCAAAAAAACAGAAGTTTTTAATTTTGAAGAAGTCCAATTTATCAGCTGTTCTTTTTATGGTTGTGATTTTGGTTTACTATCTAAGAAACACTGGTGTCCTAAGGAGTAACACAAAGTCCCTCTGTTTCACCTATGATTCTCATTGTATTAAACAGATCTGTGACATACTTTTAGTTAAATTTTGTATATGTTGCAAGATATGGATTAATGCTCTTGCATCTGCATACAGATACCCTATTGTTTCAATCCTATTTGTTAAAAAGATTACCCTTTCTCCACGGGTTGCTTTTGTAATTTAGTTAATGATCAGTGTCCCTATATGTATGGGTCTCTTTTTATGAGCGCTCAACTCTGTTCCACTATTTACCTAGCTTTGTAGTAATACCGCCTTGGTAGTCACCATCCTTTTATAATAAATCCTGCAGTTAGGCATTGTGGTGATTGACTGACTAGTTTTCCACTGGAGTTGAAATGAGCATGGTTCTGGGCGTGGGAGACTCACCCAAAGTGGCTTGTCCCATGGTACAAAAGGAGAATGGAGGGAAGGCTTTCAGCTGATCTTTCTTGGAAGAGCTTTGTAGTGAGTGTTTTGGGGGAGGGCGAGTTCCAGTGGTTTTTCTTCAAAGAAGCTTTGACTGCTTTCTTTCTCTGGGAGCCTCAGTCCTCATCGTCATCTTGGACATCATCTCCTGGCTTTAATGCAGATGCCAGTGTTAGGCCTGCAAAGCCAATCACACAATACACCTTCTTGAGTGCAGGATATATTGCATTTCTATAAACATTTTTTTTCAGACACAGCTAAGTCATGTGGAGACTGTTTAATCCTTTTAGGTCTTATGTCTCAGATTAGCCAGGCAGGTTCAGGATGGTGATTGGTCTATGGCTATTTATTCCTCACAGTGGAAGTGAAAGCTTTCTGAGGATTCTCTAAAGCATTTTGATATATGAGGTTTTGCAATCTGGCAGATAGTAACAGGCACATTCTGGCCCTGTGTGAACACTGGCTGCCATTCCTTCCAAATCCTTTTAGATAGTCTTTCCCTAGCTGTACCAGTCAGCTTTCCATCACTACAATAAAATACCTGACACAGGCTGCTTATAAGGCAAAGTGGAGCTTATTTAGCTCTCAGTTTTGCAAGTTCATATCATGGTAGAAGGTCGAATAGGAGGATCTTGAATTGGAGAAAGGGAGGGAGACAGAGACAGAGACAGAGACAGACAGAGACAGAGACAGAGACAGAGAGACAGAGAGACATCCCAGTGTCCCACCTTCCCCTTTGAAGCTGTGCCATCAAAAACTAAAGACTGGTGGACCCCACCTTTGGAAGCTCCACAGCACCCACACTCTGCCACGTGGGTCAAGAGTTCCCATGCAAACCTCTTTGAAACCTCACCACGTAAACACAGTGCTGGCTCTGGGTGTTTTCCTCAGCTAGATGCTCAGGAGGATCCTTGAAGGATCCCGAGTTCCGCTGTGCCTTTCTCCTCTCTTCTGCTCTGCTGTGTGAGCCTATTTGCCTTGGTCTTTGGGATGCTCAGCTCTTCCCCCCTGACCCAGTGACCTCTGACTTACCTGTTCCATGCCTGGAAACACTCTGGGTTCAATAACCTGGAACAATTGTCAGGCCCCCTCATTTGTTTCTTATCTCTTATGAATCATTGTCTTTTGCTACTTATATCCTTTGTCTTAAAAATACTGTTTCATGCATTTTGTATCATTTTTGTTTATCTCATTTGGAAGGGTAACTCTCCTCCTTGTTACTCTGCCCAGACTTCAAGCAGAAATTCCTTTATATCTTCTGAAAATACAAATATTTACATGGTTCTGGTTAGACTATATGTATCATTTATGGTCAAAGAAACACATTTCAGACATTTGCCATATTTCTAAACAGTTTCACGATTGCCATTTGAATAGCCGAATAGCTGAAAAGTATTTCACAGCATGCCAGATTTTTGGAGAGCAGTTTATATATTCAAGAGTGATTTATGTCTTATCTATTTCCAAAAGTGAATTTCAGATGGCTTATTGACAAAAAGGCCTACTAAATATGAGTAAGGTTGCACGAATTAAAAGGAAAAATAAGATCAAGAAAAAACAAAGAAAGTAATAATGCCAACTATGATGATGTCTGCTCTAACTGAAAGTGAGATTAGGCTTTGGGCATCCTGGCTATCACATGTGCCAACTACTGTTAGTCAGAGTGCCGCTACCTTAGAGTGGAAGGGGGCTAATGCGCACTAACAGTTACTGAATGCCTACTATGTGCCTACCAATACTGTGTTCTTGACACATCACCTTGGCAGTACTGGCCCTGGACTATAGTGTGAATGACAGCCTAGGGACTAACTTGGTACAGCAGAGATTTAAAGGCCAAGGCCACCATTGCACAAGTCCCAGCAGGAAGACAGACATTTTTCTGGTAATAAATGCTGAGAAGTCTTACAGGGTGCAGTTTACCCAGGCGATAGTGAAAGAGCCCACAGCAGTTCATACTCAGTGTGGACAAGGTTTCACAGGGCCTTTTTCGTGTACTGCCTTTTGATGGGTGTGACACTGAACTCACTTCATTTAGGGGCTCTCAGGTGGAGCGGCACTGAAGTGGCCTGTGCATGGTATTTTCGTGGCTCATAACCTTAGCAAGGATGGCACTTGGTACCTCAGAGGAGAGACTCGCCATGCCCACACCTGCGAACCATGTTGTTCTGGAGATCTGCACAGGACCTGGACACCTCCTTTCCTGCTTTCTGATGAGGGTCTATTTCATGTAAATTAACTCCTCTTTCCCGCAGTTTTGTTTGCCGCTTGCTCCCAAGGTCCATTGCTCTGTGAGTACTCTGGGGCTCATCTTGCTCTCCTGACTACTGTCAGCCCGTCCCTTTTCCCTCCGAGTTCCCATGTTCCTCACCCCTTGGGGGAATGTCATTGGCTTTGCTCTTTGTGTTTGACTCTTTGGCATCTTCACGGCTTTCCACCTTAATGTCATTGGGCACAAACTCCTGATTATGCTTGGTACTTAGAACAGGAAGGGTAAACAGGCAGGAAGAAGCCTGATTCTGACCTCAGGGGTTCCTCTCCGAGAGAGACAGGGAGTAACTATCATTTGAAGAAATAAATTTAAAGTTATATCAACAAAGCAAATGTGAATGCTCAAATAAGAAATATCAGGAAATATTTCATTGAAACATACCTTTTGACACTGAAAACGATATAAACATAATACTTTGAGAAGACTCAATTTATTTACTTCTCAGATATACCCAGTCCCATGTACCCTGGGAATCCTTGGTTTTTTGAGATACCAGCTGCTGTCATTGTCATTCAGTCCAGCACTGCCAGCTGTCCCCAACTCCGCCAGGCCACAGTCAGGTGTTGGAGTGGTTTCCAGCACACACACAAGGGAGGAGACTCAAGACTCCATGCTCTCTCTGGTCCTCTCTGATTGACTCTCAAAGTCTGTGGATTTTTCCCTGTACTTCTGGGCTCAATAAAACACCTCTCATGGGTGCTTGAGGTGCAGATAACACAGTCTTGAAGTATAGGGAGTTCACCTCCCACAGGGTGCATTTGACTCCAAGAGCCACAGGTAATGCCAGGCTATTGGCTCCCGCTCCATCCACCCCTCAATGGACTGTTCCAAGAATGGACCTTCCACATCTGGCCAGAGCCCTGCTTCACTCTTGAGCCCATGGACACAAACAACTCATGTCCACTCTCATTTGATCCATGTTTCACTTTCCCAGTGTCATCTTGTGGCTCTGTGGCCCCGCCTTCAGTGACTAGATTGCAAAGTCCTCAGAAGAAGGCAGAGGTACGAAGTAGGACTCTCTCACATGCCAGCTGAATTCATGCAGAAGTCTACCTGCAGGTTCAGTTAGGGTTCGGTTCTTCAATCAGTAGTGGAGATATGTTTCTTAAATCACTGTAACTATTTTTAAATACTAATATTCGAGCAATGTTATGAAGCCCTCAGTATCTGGAATTTGCTTGCAGCTCTATGCAAGGCCACAGCTCTGCCACCTCACTGTGAGTCTCCAGGTACCTGATGACAAGGTTACTCAGCATCTCCAGAGGGCAATGTGTCCGAATCCAGGCTCACAACATGGAGGCAAGCTGCAAGGTCCCCGGGTCCCCTCAGGAGAAACAATGGGAGGCCATCCTCTTCTCCACCCAGTGAACATTTTTAGAACTTCCTCTGTGCCAGATCAGATAAATACTGTGACGATCAGATAAATACTGTTAAAAGTACAAAGCATCTAGGGGCCACAGCCTCCCTGTACACAGGGACACTTCAAGGCCCTTAGTTTCACCCAGTTTCTCATTTACAAATTTGGCTTTTTTCTCCTGCATTTTACACCATCTAGTTAATGTCAAAGAATTTTTGGAGTCATTGTAGCTGGTGAGTGAAGGGAAAAACATCAGCAAAGGATCCAGAAACATATTGTGAATAAATCGGCAATCATTTTTAGTTGGAGTTGCGGACTCCATGAGACGATACAAACTTGGCAGTGCTTGTGAAGAAAGATGTCATGATTTTATTAAATCTTTGACTCTGGGAAGCTGTTTGAGCCACTCACATAACAAGGCTGGGCAGATTCCCTTCATCCTCTTCTTTTTTTTTTTCCTTATTGACATCTTCCAGAGAAAATGCTGCATGATTTGATTTTCGACAATAATTTGCCTTTTTGTCCTAAGCAGCATCCCTTCCCTTCCTACACGTTAACCTCCTATGCTCTCCCTCCCAGAGCCAGGGAGGATCCTTCAAAATTCCTACCAGGCAGCTCTGTGCAGAGATGGGAGGGAAGGGAGGAGAGGGAGGCAGGGAGAAGGGAGGGAGGGAGAGGTAGAGGGTGTCTGCTGCCTGCGTACTTGTGGTACAGGCAGGGAGCTGAGGATGCTAACAGAATAGGCAGTGAATTCCATGTTCCTTGTAAGTATGTTACCCTTGCAGAGAACTGAGCCTGTCAGTCCACCTGGAGAGAAAAAGTAGATTTGAGCAAGGCAGACTAGGTCAATTTACAAGTGACTTTCTCCTTGGTGATAGTGAGGACTGCTGCTGATCTGCAGTGACTGCCTGGTGCCTCTGGGTCAGACTCAGCTGTCTCCTCCCAGACACTGGATTTTGCAAAAGAGACACACCTTTCTGCAAGAAGGAAGCCTCTGGCCAGACTGCAAACGGTAGGTTGTGACATTCAGCATGTTTATGCAGCAAAATTGCTGAGAGATGCAGGGAGAGGGGGTTGTGGGGCTGGCTGATGTATTTGCATGAGGGAATGTTTTATTTTAATTGTCAGTTAAAAGAAGCATTGTTGCCTAGGCTAAAGTAGCAGTTTAAAATGCCGTGTGGAAGCTTCTGCATTTGTGTTTGATGTGGTTTCCATGTTTGTGCATCTCAGAGAAGCCAGGCAGGGTTCACCTTTAAATAACCTGCAGCTTCCTATTTCCCTTCTTTTTGCTCTCCTTACACAGATTCACCCCATCTCCTGCCTTCCTCCTCACCTTGTGGAAGCATGGCCTATCTTCACCTTGAGACTTTTGCACCCTGAGCCTGGATTTCCAGCTGGTTTGCTGTAAGTGGCTGTGGATGCCCAGGCAGACTGAGTCGGCAGTAGCGTTCGTGCACGGGAATCGGAGACCATGGCAGTGCAGCTGGTGCCGGACTCTGCGCTCAGCCTGCTGATGGTGAGTGTGTGGGAGGAGGGGGCCCAGGCGGTGCCCTAGGCCTGCGCTCAGCTGCCTGGGGCTGCTGCTGGTGCTGGTGCTGCTGCTGCTGCTGCTGCTAAGCTGCTGCTGCTGCAGTGGCTGCAGACATGTCAGGCCTGCTCTGCTTCCCTCTGCAGGCTCTTTGGAAAGGAGTTCTTGGGTCAGAGAGGCAGCATGACTAAGCACTCTCAGAGAAAAGTGGTAGGTTTGCCATTTTAGAAACTTGTTGCTGAAGGCTGTTTGGAGCCAGGTACTTGCAAATCGATAGTGGGAGCCCCTCAAGACTGGATCGCTGGGGCACCTCCCCTGGTGCTCAATATTCCTCCCTTTTGGCCTTTTTTAATCTAAAGCCACAGCGTAGCATTTGTTTGTTTGTTTGATCTCCCTCTTTTTTTTTTTTTTTGAAAGAAAGCTTCTGTCTAAGAGAGAGACAGAAGGGGTCCGGAGTGGGTTGTCAAAGATTCTGTCTTTTCTAGGGACTTATAGAGCAAAACCACAAGGACCTGTCTCACCTTGTGGTTGTTTGATTTCTTCTTGCAGTAACGAAATTCTGTCCACAGTGTGATTGGCTTGTATCCTCTTTTCAGGTGCCCCGGAGTCTGCTCAGATTCCTGTAGGGGACCTGTAAAGGTTTACAGCAGCCTTTGTGACCCTTGGGCTACTGACTCAGAGGAAACACTCCTCCCGTCCACAGCTGGCAGGGCAACACTGGCTGCCCCATGCAGACACTGATGTACATGTGGACCACTGATTTCTTTACGCCCCTGTGTGACTTTTTATGTTAAGAAAACTGTCACTTGTAACATTTTGAGCCAACAGGGCAGTGACCTTTTTTCTTGTTACCTGAATGGCTTTTTTGTTTGTCGGTTTGCTGTGGCTGTCATTTTGTTCTTCCTCCACCCAGTGGCTCCCAGACCAGGGTGATGCTCTCGTCAGAGGTAGCCTGCGTCAGCTTGGCATGGGAATGTTCTCAGCACTTACACAGGAGGCTTCATGAACAGAGTCTAAGTGCTTCTGCTGTGTGTATTGATCTGTGTTTTCCAACTGCAACAGGGAAGTGCAGCTTGGTGAGACCAGATGAGTTTATTATGGTCACTTGAAGGAGTAGCCATGGGACGCCTCCTGGGAGGAGAGCAGATCACATTAGGAGGGACAAATATCTTGATGCTTTGTTACTTAAAATGTCATTTGGGCCACAGAATCATTTGAACAGCCTGAGATTACATGGGCCTCTGACTTCTGATTTCACTGAGGGTTGGATAAGAAAGAATGGAAGTGATTTTCTGGAGAAACCACACTCTACCCATCTTCCTTCCTGCATTAATGCTATTGCCTGATGACCCTTCATCTTTCTAACCTGCCTTGTGTTAAATGGTTGGTCCAGGATCTGAGTGTTTGCCATGCTGGCTGGGCCTGCAACACAGTTCTATCAGGAGCAAGAGACTGCTGGGAGCCAGAGATCTTGGTTTTGTATATAAAAGTAGAGAGGCACACACCCCTGTGATAATTTGCACACGTGTTATCTGATGTGACCTAGTCCTGCAGCATGTTCATAGAGGAAGGAAGTTATCCATAAAAATAGCATCAGGGGAGTCAGGCCTGCTTGCCTCTGGCTGCACTGAATTCTCCTTATGTGTAGATGTCTGTCTGTTTTCACTCCAAGGCCCTGAGGACACATCTTTGGTGCCTATGCAGACTGAGGCTCAGCCTCCCTGCTCAGCTGCTCCGTGTGCACACACTCAGCCTCCTGTCTGCTGGAGTCTGAGCTCAGACTTTATCCTCCATGCATCAGCGGCCTCTGCCCCAGATCTCTCCCTGGCCCGCACCTCCTGCCTGGATTAAAGGATTGTGTTCTCTTCGCTCTCAGAAGCTGGGAAAGTAGCTCTTGACATCAAGATGGCCCATCATATGAGAGCCCCCTGGAGAACTGACTGTAATTGGAGTCAGTGCACATTTTCTGGTTCATATTTGGTTCAGGAAAAATTTCCCCTATGGACTTCGGTGCTTTTTTTTTTTTATTTTAAAGGTAAACCCCAAAGTAATAGCATCCCTGACATGTTACATGATGAGTGTCAGAATTTATAAGCAAGTCAGGGAGAAAAGAAGGGAAGACAAGAGGCTATTTAATGGTGTGGCTTGGCTGTGAGTTCAGGAAGGAAGTTATAAACATTATTACTCATTAGTGCATTAACCAGCCAGTCAATTCTCAGTACTTACCCGGCGTCTACACACAGGGAGAGTGACATGCTGCAGTTGCCAGAGCCAGAGCTCATGATGCACAGTTTGGGGAGCTCAGTACCAGGTTAGATGATGGCAGCTCTGATTTTGCACTCTGCAGTCACCCGCTGCAGGGAAAAGGGGAGATTCTCTGGCTGTGCCTCTTGCTTGGATAAGGAGGCAGCCAAGGTTGTATTGAGGGCAGATACTAAAACTTGCTCGGTAGAATATGTTTGTTGAGTCCGGAAATGGCCACAGAGTCTGGAGGGCTAGAGAGCCCTGTGCTCTCACTGTAGCTTTGCTACCTACTGTGTAATCCTGAGTACTTCGCCTGCTCTCTCTGTGCCTCATGTGTGCCATTTGCTAACTGAGAGAGTGGTACTAATTTCTAGCATCCTTTTCAACTCTGCTAACACAGTTTAGGGCTCTTAGGGATGCTTTCTAGGACAGAGCTCCTAAACAGTCGGCTCAAATGTTTTAGTCACCGTTATGTCCTTATTTTCAGCCTGTCACATGAGCTTCTAGAATGCTGAGCTTTGCTCCCTCCCACGGGGCTCTTCTGCCAGGACAAGTATACTTCAAATGATTGGGTGAACTGGGTGATCATTTAAGGTTTATTCAACTCTACTGTCCAGAGTCCCAGCCCATAGGAGCCTAATGTGTTCTGCTGGACAAAAGCCAGGTATCTTTGCACAGTCTCTGGGTAATTTTACCCGCACGGATGGGGCCTGGGCTGTGAGACATCCTGGGAGACAGGAGATGGGAGATTAATGCCCTGATTCTTTCAGCGGAGGCTTGGGGAGGAGGTGTCAGTACTCAGGTAAGGTGGAGACCAATAAATGCCTAAGAGTGAATGGAGGGAAAAGGCAGATGCTGTGGTAGAGATGGCCCCAAGTGTCCATGAAAAGCCCACCTCCACATCTTCGCAGGAATCTCAGAAGCAAAAACAGCATTGCAGTGACCCCACCCTTTGGCAGTCTTGAGCCAGGAAAGACTAAGTGACGAGCAGGGTGCTCTTGACTGTGCGTCATTTGTTGAAGTCGTGCGAGTTCAGAAAGCTGCCAGAGCTGAAACATGCTGGACTCAGGGATTCACTGATTTCTGGAATAAAAACTCAAAGGTGGTTTTGTTTAGCTTAGGTTTTAGCTTCAGAAAGCTCAGATTTGGGGCTCAGCTATAGCTTTACCTTCCTCATTTCATTATTTGTTCCTGAGCTTTTTTCTTCTTCAGGACTTTTCTTTTTTACCTAAGCACAGTGTTTGCTGAGTATCCCATCTAAGAAGCATATGAGCCAGTTGCTGGCTTCAGGCAACTTGCAATTTGGTTGGACAAACAGGATGCAAGAGCATGGGAGCCAAGGTGCAACTCCTCTAAACAAGAGATGACAGCTTGAGAGGACCACTTGCAACCTGTGAACAGGGCAGAGTCCAGCTCTTCTCCACTCCAGCCCACAGCAGGCCCTGGGGTACAGTTAGAGTGGAGGAACCAGATCTTGATCTAGATCTTACTAAGGAGAGGTATCACTGAGGCATGTGTCAAGAGTAGATTTAGGTTGCTGGCTTACATCTGAGTCCAGGTGGTGTTTGGGAGAGTGGAGAGTCCACTGGTTTGGCTGTATCTGACAAATATTCACATGGTTAGAAAGACCAATGAGGGTGTAATCAAGATCTAACTATATTACTATGACCCAATTTTCCTCTACAGTTAACCTATCATAGGTATCTATTCAAGGATTTTAATGGATTTATTTTTTTTATTTTAAAGGGAAAAAACCAATAAAAACAGTGGTATGAAATTTCCAAACAAGGTTGTAGGAGAGTAATACTGGTTAGTACATTGCATATTGTTCGATCCCAAATGACAAAAAGATATAGAGTACAGTTGAGTTCTGTCTTGAGGAATCTTATTTTTTTAGTTAATATAAATAACAGTTATGTTTTTCAAAGTATTTTCGAGCCTGTTGTCTTACTGGATGGTCTCAACAATCTTGTGAGTCAGGTATTGTATTTGCTTGTCAAATGGCAAAGCTCTCCCTGAGAGGTTAAATGGCTTGCCTTAGATAATCTGTGATGAAACAGAGATATTACCTTGGTTAAGTCATAAATTTGAAAAAGTGATATGGGCAACCTTTAGCAAAGTTAGAGCAAGACAATGGTGTGGTAACCCAGTGTCTCAAGGATTGTCTTCAGAGGGGGCCGTTTGAACAGGGTGCTAGAAGTTTCACTCTTTGGTATCATTTATCTTTCTGCTTTGTTAAAGAAAGATACTTGCCAAAGCATCCATAGTAAATGATTGTGTTATTGCTGTATCTAAATCCATACCTAATAGCCTTCTTAAACTCAATTATCCACCTTCTAAGGTGCGTTTTCTCAATGCGTATAACTGAAATCTTGATATTAATAATTTTTAGTTTGTTTACAAACTTCTTTCAAAAGGTGAAACTTGAAGTCAGTGGTAGTAATCTCTGATCACCTTTTGCTAGATTATTAAACTCCATTTTCTGGCAAATCTGATTTTGTGCACTTAAGCAAGAGAGACTACCTCAAATTACCTGTGTTAGCAACATGAGAAGTTGATTGGCTGGGGTGCCTGGGAGTACAAGGATGAAGTGGCACTGGGGCAGCTGGCTTGGAGACTGAATGCTGGTATTCTGACTCTGTTCCTTTGGCTCTGCCAGGTCTTGACTCTACTTCTCTCCACGTTA